GTCTGTCTTCTGACTCTGCATGCTCTGCCCACTGCCCTCTGTCCCAGAGGTCGGTCTTTGGCCTCTGGAGCCACACAGCCCTGCTCTGGGAGCCTCTGCAAGGAGGGTGGGCAGCATGGACCCCTTCCCAGTGTGCATTCAGCTGCCTTGCAGCTGGGCCCTGGGGGCACTGAGCTTGGCTGGGGAAGAGGCAGCCCCAGGTTGAATTCTAACCCAGGAAGCAGGCTTTTGTTGTCACTGCCCCCGCCACACACTCATGGTCCAGGATAACATGTTTGAAGATTTGCAAAGCCAACCAGCATCCAAATTTGGATTTAGAGAAATTCTGGTTTTCTCAGAAGCCACACTTGAGTGCTCTTTGGTGGTTAAGAGGACAGGAAGATCCTCTTTTGAGTCCCTGCTCTGCTGCTTTCAGGCTCTATGATCTGGGCAAGTTGCTTAATCTCCCGAGCTTCAGTTTTCTATTTTGCAGTGCAGGAATGATAACAGCAGCCACCTGCTAGGTTTGGGGTGAAGAGTGAGTACATGTTGAATGTCTGGGGCAGTGCCTGGACCTCCCTGTGGCCGCTCAACTAGACGTTGTTTGGATGCGATGATGATGCCGGATCGGGCCTGTGCCATCTTCTTCAACCCCCTTTCTCACCATCGCATTCCTCCCATCACTTTGTTCCTTCATTCACTTACCCAATCACTCCCATCTCATTAGTCACCTCAGTCTAACATCGTTCTTTCCGTGACTCTCATGATCCTGACATTTATAGGCCAATTATTTTGTAAAATGATACAAGCCTTCATTCTGGGTTTGTCTGATGTTCCCTGTGATTCTATTTATGTTATGTCTCTGTGACAGAGGTAGCACAGAAGTGATACCTGTATTCCTCTTACTGCGTCCTACCAGACAATACCTGACGGCAGCTTGTCCTGTGATTAATGATACTCACTTTGATCACCTGATGCAGGTGCTATCTGCCAGGCTTAACTACTGTGAAGTGACTCATGTTCCCTTTGTAATTAGTAAGTATTTTGGATGGGAAGTTACTTTGAAACTGTGTAAATCCCCCATTTCTTTTTTTTTTTTTTTGAGACGGAGTTTCGCTCTTATTACCCAGGCTGGAGTGCAATGGCGCGATCTCGGCTCACCGCAACCTCCGCCTCCTGGGTTCAGGCAATTCTCCTGCCTCAGCCTCCTGAGTAGCTGGGATTACAGGCACGCACCACCATGCCCAGCTAATTTTTTGTAGTTTTAGTAGAGACGGGGTTTCACCATGTTGACCAGGACGGTCTCGATCTCTTGACCTCGTGATCCACCCGCCTCGGCCTCCCAAAGTGCTGGGATTACAGGCTTGAGCCACCGCGCCCGGCCCTAAATCCCCCATTTCTCAACAAACATTCCACTTATTTGTTTATTCATATCTGTATAGACTTTGGTTTCCTGTTTTATTCAATGGAATATAATCGGTTATGGTCAGTACTGAGCTTAATACGAAGATTATCTCAGCTTGAGCCCAGGTAGGGTGACCAACACTAGCTTGCCTGGGACTGAGGGATTTCCCAGAATGTGAGACTTGCAGTGGTAAAACTGGGAAAGTCCTGGGTAAACCTTGAAGTGCTGGTCACTCTACCAGAGGGAGAGCCCTTCAGGCTGGTTCCTATGTCCAGAATCTTTATCATTCTTTGAGTATTTGCTTACTTCCTGGCACAAGAAGATGTTCCAGGCTCATCTTATGCTTTCTCTGACCCAGCCCTGGAATCACCCATTTTTCCAAGAAGACCTAGAGCCAGACACCTTTTGAGTGGTAGGCTATACCACACTGTGGACACTGAGCCAGATGGAACTCATTCACTGCCCACAGGCCACACTCTCGCCTGCCTCTGCACCTTGGCTGGCCCTTCTTTCTGCCCGGGCCACTTGGCAAGCACCTACCTTCAGCACTGAGATTCTCCGTGAAGCCTGATCCCCCACCCAGCCCATGGAGCTGATCTCCTTCTTACGCCCCCACTGAGAACTTTAGGGCACCTCCCCATTTCCAAGCATGGCTCCTCCTTTCACTGCAAACCTCTCAAAGACAGGCCTCACATTCCTCTCTGAATCTTCTGGACTCAGTACAGGGCTGGAGCTGGGGGCTGCTGGTTAAATCGTTGGATCTAGTCATGCCCCATTATAGAGCAGAAAGGTAAATGGGGTAGAGAGGGAGGGTGAATTGTTCAGGGTCACACAAATAGTCTTGCAGCCTCGAGTCTGTCCTTGAACCTTGGTTTTCTTAATTCTATAATGGGGCCAATATACAGAGCACTGCTGTAAGAATAAAACAATGTGTATAAAGCACTTAATATAGTACCTGGCACATGGTAGGTGCACCTCTCAGTATTGCTGGGGGACCTTTTGAAACTGTTTTCATTATTTCAGAAGCAATACTATACATGTTAGAAAATTGTAAATATGCAGGGCAAGGTGGCTCACGCCTATAATCCCAGCACTTGGGAGGCTAAGGCAGGTGGAGCACAAGGTCAGGAGTTTGAGACCAGCCTGGCCAATATAGTGAAACCCCGTCTCTACTAAAAAAAAAAAAAAAAAAAAAAAAAAATTAGCTGGGTGTGGTGGCACACGCCTGTAGTCCCAGCTACTTGGGAGGCTGAGGCAGGAAAATTGCTTGAACTTAGGAGGTGGGGGTTGTGGCAAGCTGAGATCGTGCCACTGCACTCCAGCCTGGGTGACAGAGCAAGACTCTGTCTCAAAAAAAGAAAAAAACAAAAATAAGAAATATAGACAAGCAAAATGAAAAGAAACCATCACATTTCTATCATTTACAGATCTCCACTGTGAACACCTTAGCAATTCCGCTTCCTGGGCTTCCTCTATGCATATATTTTTCCCCCAATTGTGGTTATGCTGCTTTTTTTTTTTTTTTTTTTTTTTTTTTGTTTTTTTTTTTTTTTTTTTTTTTTTTTTTTTTTTTTTTTTTTTTTTTTTTGAGATGGAGTCTTGCTCTGTTGCCCAGGCTGGAGTGCAGTGGCATGATCTCGGCTCACTGAAACCCCCACCTCCCAGGTTCAAGTGATTCTCATGCCTCAGCCTCCTGGGTAGCTGGGATTACAGGTGTATGCCACCACTCCCGGCTAATTTTTGTATTTTTAGTAGAGACAGGGTTCCATTATGTTGGCCAGGCTAGTCTTGAATGCCTGACCCCAAGTGATCCGCCTGTCTCAGCCTCCCAAAGTGCTGGGATTACATGCCCGACCTATTTTGTAATCTTTTTTTTTAAGGCAGCAGTCTCCACCATTTTGTTTCCATAAATTTTCAGTGCACCCGATACTCTAATCACATACACACTTCTCCAGTTGTCCCCAAAATGCCCTTTATAGATGGTGTGTCCAAATCAGTTTGCAATCCAGAAACGCACTTTACATGTGGTTGTTATATCCTGCAGGTCAGTCCCGCCCTGCCCCTTTGTTATGACATTGACTGGTGGAAGAACCTCGGCTAGTAGCCCCGTGGAATGGTTCACTATCTGGCTCTGTCTGGTTGCATTCTCATGTGGTGTCACTTACCTCGTTCCTCTGTCCTCTGTATTTTCTATAAACGGAAGTTATATCCAGGGCTTGATGGGTTTCTTGGTGCCTAGAATAGCCAGCAGGCGATGATGTGACCTTCCTGTGGTGTCCCACCATCATTAGTGGTGCCAAGGCCTATTCTGGGATGAGGGGGAAGGCAGTGTGATCTCTCCCTCATATGGTTGCTTGCATCCCCTTGTGAGTGGAAAGTGTTATGTGAGGGCTCCTTTGGCACTGTCTAAATGCCAGTTCTGAGAGACCTTTTTAAACTACACAAGAAAACTTGTCCATTTGCTGAGAAGAACTTGATCTTGGGGATAGGGCTCTTGGGTTAAAAAAAAAAATCACAGAACAAGGACATTGAGTTTCATCTCACTGAGTGCAAACCTAGGGAAACCTGGTTCTGTTTTTACTTGCTTTCCAGACGTGTGATCTGGGTTAAATCCTAGCTCTGCTACTTACCAGCTGAGTGACATTGGGCGAGTTACTTAACCTCTTTGAGCCTCAAGTCCCTTCTTGGATTTCTTGTCTGGCAGAGTTGTTGGGAGGGTTAAATAAAACAAGGTGTCCTGGCCGGGCACAGTGGCCCACACCTGTAATCCCAGCACTTTGGGAAGCTGAGGCAGGCGGATCACGAGGTCAAAAGATCGAGATCATCCTGGACAACATGGTGAAACCCTATCTCTACTAAAAATACAAAAATTAGCTGGGTGTGGTGGTGTGCGCCTGTAGTCCTAGCTACTTGGGAGGCTGAGGCAGGAGAATCACTTGAACCTGGGAGGTGGAGGTTGCAGCGAGCCGAGAGGTTGCCAACCTGGCAACAGAGCAAGACTCCGTCTCAAAACAAAAAACAAGGTGTCCTTGGCCATCTTCTTCCCAGATGAAAAGCTCTTTGAGGGCAAGGCTAATACATAATAAGAAATCCAAAGATGTTTGTTGAAGGGGGAAAAAAAACAAAAATAGGAGGACAAGTGGTATGGCCAGGTGACAAGTATCAGGGAGGAAATAAATCATCCATTTGGGCATTTGATTTTCATTTATGCTTTCATTTCATTTAACATGTACCCATTCCCATTCCAGGCTCCATGATGAAATAACCATGAACCTCTGCCCACGAGGAGCTCTCAGGGGTCTGGGAGGGCACAGACATAGAGATTCATTGCGCGGAAGCCCAGAAGGTCTGGCTGGGAAGGCTTCCTGGAGGAAGAGACTGGGCTGAGTAGGAGGAGATGGTCTCTGGATAGAGAGGCTGTCTGTCTCCTGGCACCGGTGGCTTTTTAGGGAGCTGGCCAGGGCTTGTGGCAAGAAGGAAGTCCATGCTGGGGTCAGAGGCCTGTATTCCTCCCTGTTCTCTGTCTCTTCCTCCTCCTCTGCCTGTCTGCCCACTGGTCCTCTGGCCAGGGCTCTGAGCTCCATGTGATCCTGACAACCCATGTATCTGTCTGCAGTGCCAGATGGAGTGCCGTGATGTGCCAGCTGAGACACTCTATGACGTCCTACACGACATTGAGTACCGAAAGAAATGGGACAGCAACGTCATTGAGACTTTCGACATCGCCCGCTTGACAGTCAACGCTGACGTGGGCTACTACTCCTGTGAGCAGGCATAGCATGCTGATCCCTGTCTCCTTGGCCTCCATCCAGGCCTCCCACCAAGCCTCCTCCTCCTCCCTCCCTCCTCTGGTCACTCCCATGACCAGGCTGCTCAGAGACTTGAGTGCTGAGACACAGAGCTGCTCTCCCTGACATCCCTGTCCATTCCTAGACCCTTAGGCACACACATGTACATTCACACATATGCACTCACATGATCACGTACACACACACACATAGGCACACACACGCATACGCTCAAACACATACACAGCTCGTACCCACATGCCACATAGTCCCAGGGACACATTTTCATGCACATTCACACTGTTTTTCTCTTGTACACTCACATTCATATAGACAAGCCAGCCAGGCTGACAAGGTAAGGGCTGTGTGAGGTTGTGAGGAGCAGGGCTGGCTGGAGGCAGTCGGGACAGGTCTTACCCTGGCTCCAGCTGTGGGACTGTGGTCTGGGAGAGAGATGCCTGTTTGCACTGGGGGGCTGGCAGTTACTTAGGCATCCCTGCATCTCTGGCCTCCGCCACACCCTCCCTTGCAGGCAGGTGGGCCAGTGGTCTGGCTGAACTGTCCCTTGCCCTCCACAGGGAGGTGTCCCAAGCCCCTGAAGAACCGTGATGTCATCACCCTCCGCTCCTGGCTCCCCATGGGCGCTGATTACATCATTATGAACTACTCAGTCAAACATCCTGTGAGTCAACCTGCCTTCCCTGCAGCGGGGCAGGGGAGAGAGTTAGGCAGGGTAAGGCTGAGGCTGCCGCTGTGACTTCCATGTGACTTCAAGCAGGCATGGAGCCCACTGGCCCTCAGTTTCCTTCCTGTACAGTGAAGATAATGACTTCTCTCTCCCTGCTGGGGCTTTTGAGCAGATCAGGAGAGGGCAGTGTGGCCACCTCTGTGGCGAGTGGGTGGGATGGGGTGACTTTGGTTGGTTGGGCTCTGGGACAGGGAAACGAGGAGCAGAGGTGAGAGGCAGGGTCCTCTAGCCCTCCCTGAGGCTGGGCCACCTTGATCTCCCTGGGCAAGGACAGGCAGGTACAGCTGGCTGGGCAAGGGTGAGTGTGTGTGTACCCATATGTGCTCATGAGCTCTGACCCCCGGACTGGGGGCTTTTCTGAGGGGACAAGGAAAGCGTCAAGAGGGGCTAGGATGACCTAGTCTGGTTCTTCCCTTTCTCTGCACCCAGAATCAGGCCTAGTCTGGAACAGATGTGACGGCATGTGAACTGTGTGTGTGTATGTGTACATGCATGTGCGTGCATGCGTGCGTGTTTGTGTATACTCACAAAAACATCATCTTTGCCCCCACCCCGAGTCTCACCTCCCTGTGCCTTCCATCCCCAGAAATACCCACCTCGGAAAGACTTGGTCCGAGCTGTGTCCATCCAGACGGGCTACCTCATCCAGAGCACGGGGCCCAAGAGCTGCGTCATCACCTACCTGGCTCAGGTGGACCCCAAAGGTGAGGGCTTGGCCCTGGCAGCCTATCATGAGATCCTTCCCTATACCACAGGGGTGGGGTCTGATCTACTAGGGATCCAGAAGGGCATCTATTAGTAGCTGTTTTGCATTTTGGGGCATCTCCATCCGAAGCCGTCCTTGAACCAAGGCTTGGGACTTTACAGTAGTTTGAAAAGAGTGGGCCAGGGAGGTACCACTGCCCCACTGATGAAGCTGGGGGTGCTTTTTCCTGGGCTCCGCCATCCCCATGCTCTGCCTTGTTCACTGCTCACTGGCTGTTCCCTCTGCCCATCCTGGAGGCCTGGGTTTTCCAGGCCTCAGTCTTCTCTTTCTGGGGATGGCTCATCCACTCCTGTGGCTTCTGTGACAGGTGGCTGCATCTCTCTTAGCTGAGATCCAGATCCCTGTGGCCCTCAGCCGCCTGGACATCTCCCTCTGGATGTCTTCCAGGCACTGGAGCCTCTCTGTGTCCAGCGGGGAATTCTGCATCTTTCCTCCTGACCTGCCCCTTACCCCAAGTCTCTGCTTTTCAGTCACCCATGCCCAGAATGTGCAGTCATTTGGGGCCACTCCCTCTTCCTCAGCCAAATCCAGCCACTGATTCCTATTGATTCTGTTTCCTCAGCAGCTCCTGAGTCTGGCATTTCTCTCCGTACCAGCCACCTTGTTTGTGTATTCCGGCTGCCAGAGGAGTTTTTCTAAAACACTTATTTCCTCATGACTCTCACCTGCTTTAAGTTATTCTGTGGCTCTCCATTGCCCTCAGAGAAAAGCCTAAGCCCCGTCCCAGGGCTCCTGGTATTGTTCACACCTCATCCGTCCCCACCGCTCTGTCCAGGCAGCCCTTCCCCTCAGCCTCCCATCCTCATCCCTCCAGGGCTGCTGCAGGTGTCACCTCCTGTTTCCCTGATACTCAGGGGAGCCACTGGCTCCCTGCTCTGTGGCCCATTCCCCTCTAGCAGAACACTCGGTTCCTGTTAGGCCCCCAATGAGCTCCTCTCTGGGTCCCCAGGGCTGGCCCAGGTTGGTGTCACAGTGAACCTGGAGTGAGTGAGTGAGTGAGTGAGTGACTAGAGGATGGGGAAGCTTTGAGCATCCTTGCCTGGGAATGCTCCATGCCCTGGAGTGCACAGTGGTCCAGGCCCAGCGCTCCCCTGGCACCTCATTGTGTTGGGTGTCAGTGTCAGAGTGGACACTTGAGAATGAGACAGGATGGAGAGCTGGGTGGTGGATTCCAGGTCAGGCCAGGCTGGGGTGCTCAGCCAGAGGCCTGTGTGGTTAGGGGAGGCTTGGAAGGACAGGCAGAGGAGGGCTGAGCCTCAGGGCCATTCCTGGGAGGGAGGTTAGGCTGAGAAGGGATGTCAGTGTGATTGAGGGAGGCAGCAAGCTGCAGCGGGGTGGGTCTGAGTTTCCACTCTTGTATAGCTTGTGCTCACCTAGGACCCTGTGGTTTTCTTCCATGTACTCTTTGAGGCTGGGCAGAGGGAAAGTGGGGGACAGAGCTGAGCCTGAGGATCTTGGTCTGAGGTAGAAAGGAGTGAGGGTGAAGTCTTGTAGGATTTGCCTGACACACCCCTTCCCCGAGGGGAAGACAGTGGCCTCCCTGGAAGCTCTGGACAGAGGGAGGGGCTTTTGTCGGGAGGGAGGGGCTGGGTCTCTGAGACAGATTTTTCCCTTCCCTGCCCTCACAGGCTCCTTACCCAAGTGGGTGGTGAATAAATCTTCTCAGTTCCTGGCTCCCAAGGTGAGTGGCCTTGGGATTTTGGGGGGTGTTGGAGGCTGGAGAGAAGACTATGGGATAAGGTGGGTGGAGTCAAGCTTGAAGCCTGGGGGCCAGGTGTGGTGGCTCATGCCTGCAATCCAGCACTTTGGGAGGCAGAGGTGAGAGGATCACCTGAGGTCCAGAGTTCAAGATCAGCCTAGCCAACATGGCGAAATCCTGTCTCTACTAAAAATACAAAAATTAGCCGGGTGTGGTGGCGGGCACCTGTAATCCCAGCTACTCAGGAGGCTGAGGCAGGAGAATTGCTTGAACTGGGAAGGCAGAGGTTGCAGTGAGCAAAGATATTGCCACTGAACTCCAGCCTGGGGCACAGAGTGAGACTCTGTCTCAAAAAAGAAAA